TAGATAAAGATCTTGCTCCGCGTTCCTGAGTGGATAAGTGTGAGATGGCCTTTCTTGAGAAGCTGATACATGCTTACGTATTAGGCAAACGGATTCAAATATAAATAAGGAAATAAGAGTTAATATTTTTAATTTTTTTAAAAAGTTCCGGCAATGAATTCTGCTGTTTAGTCCCAGTGAATATCAAATAGCTCTCTTCTGGAGCTAGAAAATGCGGTCAAATTGAGTCGCACAACACGTACCCCAGAATGGAAGGGTATATCTGAGGTGCGATTTAAAAAGTGCATAATAAACAGTTCTAGCCACTGACAATTTAAGCTCCTTAGAAACAGATCTTAATGCAAAACAGGCAGAACTTTTTTTTTCGATAAAGCGTCGATATGCATGTCCCATTTCAGAGAATTGTCTACAACAAGCCCTACGAATTTTACCGATTTTACGACGTCAATGATGGTGTTTGCAACAGCGAGTTTTTATACGTCAAAACTTTAGTTTTAGAAATGTTGAGACTCAGGAGGTTCGCACCAAGATTTAATGGTGATTAAGTCATTTAATATAATCCTATGAAGTGCCGTAACGTCCTTGTTGCTCCAAGTGAAGCTAGTGTCGTCCGCAAAAAGACATATTTTACCACTGATGTTTATGTTTGCGATTTAATAAAAATCAGAAAACCAATCAATCAATCAAAAAAAATATGCTTATGCTTATACAAATACAGATTTTTTTTAATGTAAATCATGTCCTAATGTAACTGAAGCTAATAGGCTTATTAAATCCAATTTAAAATAAAATAAGCAAAAAGAACTCAACAGGTAGGTATCATTCCGGAAGCTTTTTATTGAGTACCTTCAAGTGTTTATTCAAATTGATTGCTTTTCGTTTGTGAAATGGAAATATGCCAAGTTGCCAATATACGCTGTTTTCCGCTACAGCGGAACGGCATGCAGTCGATACGGAAATTTAAAGGGCCAATCAGTCCCTTTGTTTAAGGGCAGTTCTTTATTTTTTCATACGCGAAACAGGAAATTGCTTTTGTGACTTTATTAACTAGATTTGATTTAATTCGTTTGTGCAGAGTTTTTGGTAGCATCAAAATATATTATAACTTTTGATTTGATTTGATAATTTTCGATTAGGCTTCTCGTTTTCAACGAACTTTTGTATCTTTGCTAGATTTTTGACAATTTTTTCAAAAAAATGTCTGTGACATTCCTATTGCTTACTGTTAGTTCTGTTGTTTAATGATTTGAACAAGGATTTATCATACACGCTGATTTGAGGCCTGATACGATCAGATTTTTATATGTGTAGGTATATTACTATTTTTTTACACGATAAGCAATAATCTATGCCACTAATATGTTTTTTTTTCTTTTCAGGTGAGTTCAGCAATTTCTTAAGTTGAAAAATGTATACCGTATACTGGTAAGTTAAATTTGGAGAAGCTTTAAATTAATATACTATATTTATTTCAAAAACTGTTTCTTGTATAAGAGCAATTATTTTTGTGGATGGCAAAGCTTACCAAGTGGTCTGTACCAGTGTAAAACTACTAAGTAATAGTTATTTTTTATACAAGACTATAAAATGGTATTTTATCGTCGAACGAAAAGATTAATTCACGAGCGATGAAATCGCTAATGAATTAATTTCGGGAGACGATAATGCAATTTTATCATCATGTATAAAACAATATTTTTTTCCATAACGAGTTTAAAACTTTTTAAAAAATATTGAGAAATTACTATTTCAAGGAGTTTATTGCGAGTAGAAAAAATATTGTGCTGGGTTGGCGTTGGTTTCTATGTAATTTGACAAATAAATAAAGCTGTCTCTTTAGTTGTCAGTTTTGAGTCAATATTTTTTAATTCTCTTTCGAGTCGATGGCTGATTGGATTGAAGCCACAAATGGCTCAAAACGAAATAAGTAAATTACCAACAGATATTCAGGCTGAGGCGCCATATCCAAACTACTTCCATTTAAATCCCGAATAACTTATGAAAAGGACTACAAAAATTTTCAAAAATGGAAGCAATTAAAAAACGTGAGAGAAGAAATAATGTTTTTAACCTATTCTTACTGTTAAAGTATCATTTAATCCCTTGCGGTTAAAGTACTATTTTATCTACTATTTTTGAAAAGGCAATTTTAACAGTTGTTTAGGTAAAAAGGTCTCTTGGTAAAAATCGCTACAAACGATAGTTCTCGAGATATTTGGAATGGAAATTATCAATACCTGTCATCACTGACAAAAATTAAACATGTTGACTAAATAGTTATTAGACTGAAATGATAAATTTGAAATGTTTTTGAGAGAAAAGTTTAACAGAAACTGTTTAATCATCATTTTTTCGGAGAAAAATTAATGATTTGATAATAATGATATAATTTAAAGAAAATAAAAATGTATCATTTCAGTCAAATAACTATACTCAACCTGTGCTTATTTTTTGTCAATAATGACATGTATTGACTATTTCCATTCTAAATATCTTGAGAACGGTTGCTCGTAGCGATTTTTAGCAAGAGACATTTTTTTACGTAAAAAATCATGGAAATGTATATTTTTATATATAGTCATTTGTTTTATATAGATACGGACAAAAAGTTATTACTCTTCAAAACAGTTAGTAGCACAAAACACATGTAGGTGGCGCCCCCTACAAATAGGAGTCATTTTGACATCAAATGAATGACATCAAAATCAAATTTTTCGTGTCACAAAACTCCCAGACACCAATTTTCATCCAAATATTGACGTTGCTGCAGAAATTATTTGGAAAAAATCGGAATAAAAATAAAACTTCCACACCCTGTATCTCCGAAACTCAGCATTTTAGGACATACATTTATACGAACTTTTTTATTTATTTTTATTTGCAGAATATGCTGCCGAAGTTTTCGGAATACAGTTCGGACCACCCCGTATATTTGATTGTAAAATTTTTCATATCTTTTGTGTAAAATGAACGAATATTATATAAATCGAATGAATTAACATAAATCAAAAATAATCGGTTCTCGAAAATCGACATTCAACCATAATACTTCAGATGGTCAGGAATTTTAGTTGACTTTTCCTCATCTAATTGCGTTCTTTGCCCAAAATTAAACTGCTATTCGATTTCTTCGTTTCTCTTCCACCTTCTCCACCTCCTCATCCTCCTTTGCCTCCTCCTTTTACATTCTGTTTGGAAAACCGCCGTCGCGTGCTCTTTGAAACCGTCCGTCCCCAATCCTGCGAGCTTCGAGACAAATTACTGAATTGAGATTAGAACGGAGGCAGAAGGAATTCGACAGGCGGAAAGAAGGTATTATTTAATTTATTACTCGGGGATTTATGGGTTTTTACGCGAGGAATCGAAAAAATATACTCGGGGAATGAATCGTAGCGATCGGTGAAGTGATAAAAAAATTGAACCCCGGAGGCCATATATTTTATAGCCGCCCATACTAAAATATGTTAATAAAAAGTTACTTACCCCAGCGGACTCTAACGGACAATCAAAGCACTTTCGTATAGAGGCAAATTGTGTCGAATGAACTTATTTTGATTCCAAAAATACTTAGTAGTTCTATGCCCACGGAATATTGGGACACCCTATACATTAATAACTTAAGCGTCTTAATCACAGGGTTAGATCACAATGCGACAGAATAATAGTTATTTTTTATACAAGACGATAAAATGGTATTTTATCATCGATCGAAAAGATTAATTCACGAGCGATGATATCGCGAGACGGAGACAATATTATAAAATGTATATTAAATAATATTTTTTTATGGAGTTACGTTTTAAAGAATATTCAGAAATTATTATTTCAAAAAATTTATTACGAGTAGAAAAAATATTCTGTTGGGTTGGCGTTGGTTTCTATGTAATTTGACAAATAAATAAAGCTGTCTCTTTAGTTCTCAGTTTTGAGTCAATATTTTTTAGTCCTTTTTTGTGTCGATTGCTGATTGAATTAGAGCCAGAAATGGCTCAAAACGAAATAAGTAAATTACCAACAGATATTCAGGCTGAGGCGACAAACGCCATATCCAAACTACTTCCATTTAAATCCCGAATAACTTATGAAAAGGAATACAAAATTTTTTCAAAAATGGAAGCAATTAAAAGACGTGCGAGAAGAAATAAAGTTTTTAACCTATCCTCGCTGTTAAAGTATCATTTAATCTACCCTTGAGGTTAAAGTACTATTTTATCTACTATTTTTAATAGATATAAGGCAATTTTAATAGGAATGCTATGGAAAAAATGATCAACTATGTGAGTCTCCTAGACATGCATCCTGTTTTTTTTTATATTTTTAAGATATTTATAAATGGCCTGTCTTTTTTAATATGGATCCAATACTATATAGTTTATATACTATACCTACATACAGTTCCATCGGCTTCTAAATACGCATGTGATGCATAAAATACATAAAAATGGTTTGAATCGAATCATCTGTTGGAGAAAGTATTGGGTTAATTCTGGTCGCCACTAGGAAAGATTTTTTTATATACTTTTCTTTAATAATTAATTAAACTTATATGTTTTTATAATATATTAACAATATTTAACCAAACCGTTGACTGTCTTCGAACCGTGTTTCTTTATTGAAGAGTAAAGATTGATTCTTACTAAACCTTCCGTTTCCATCCCATATCCATTCCATATCCGTTCCGTATTTTTGATTGTATTCACGCTATACGTATGCTTCCGTTCCGTATCAGTTCCATACTTTTTATTGTACAATTCATATGATTACGAAAGTTTTATTTTAAAAATTTGTATCTTTTAAAAAAGGTAATAAATGTAATTAAGAGGTGAAAGAATAAGTAAATATCAGCAAAATATTAACAGAGCTGTTATAAATATAAGAACTTGAAAAGGCTCTTTCCGATACGCTTCAGTCCACCAAAAAAATGTTTGGAAGGAAAGGATATGGAACGGAAGGGAAACGGAACGGATAGTGTGCATTCATTTACATACATACAAATTTGTTCATAAAGTTCTTCGCCGTCTTCTGATTTCCAGTCTCCATTGGTCTCTGTCTGTCCAGAGGTTTTCGTCTCGGTTTTCGCCTATTCCTCTTGTTCTTATGTCCCCGTCTATTCCTTCTCTCCAACGCCATCTGGGTCTCCCTCTCTTTCTTTTGCCTTGTGGTGTCCAATTGAGTATTTTCTTCGGGATTCTGCTCTCTTCCATTCTTTGTACGTGCCCGTACCACCTGTGTTGGTTAATTTTGATGTCTTCTAATATTCTGTGTTTAACGCCCATGATGTTCTGAATTCTTTCATTTCTTACTCTATCCAGTTTCGATTTCCCGGCCGCGCGCCTCCATAAATCCATTTCTGTAGCTTCGAGCAACTTAAGGTTTCTTTCTTTCAAAGGCCATACTTCACTACCATAACTAATGATGCTTTTAATTATGCTGTTATAAGTTTTGTGTTTGTTTTGTTTTGATATGACCTTATCATAAGACCTATTCATTTACATCATATAATATTTTATGTAAACGGAAGGGAAACTGAAAGTAGCTGTTACGGAAGGTATAGTGGGAATGAACCTTAACTCGACATCATTCGATTTTCTATAAGTTCATTTCCCAGTTCCTACTCATTCTTATTATCATTTTTATTTTCTTTTTTGTTTCAATTATAAAGACAGTCGTCGAAAAAACGTCGAATGAAACCATCCGCCCTCAAACTCACAGTTCCGCGAGGTTGGAGACAAATTACTGATTCGAGATTAGGATGGGGGGGAAGAAATTTGGCAGGCTCAGAGACGCGATTATAGAATTTATTATCTGGGAGATTTAGGGGTTTTACACGCGGATAAAATAACAAAAACTAATAATTCCTTGAATAAATACTATAGATCAGTGGGGCGATAAAAAAATTGAGAAGGGAACAAAATTTATGTGTCAAGAATATAAAGGAAAGAAGGAATCAAGATGAAACCTTTTATTTTGTTAATTTGTATTGTATTTTATATTATAAGAGTGGGATCATATGATGGAGAGCTCTTATTCATATATAAATCATAACAAGTTCATATTTAGTTTCATAAATTATATTTTACCAATAACACCTTATATTTTACAGCATCTGATTAATTCTGTTGCTAAATGTCCACAGTAGATGCTGCGTAGTTTTACTCAATAGCACAGATGACTTATAAAAGAATACATTTTTTTTTGAATCACCAGAGTTATTTAATACTTTACTATCAGAATATAAACGAAAATAAAATATAAAAGTCTTTGCCCTGACCCGGATTCGAACTCTGAATCATCGGTTCGTAGTCGGAAACTCTACGCACTGCGCTATGGTGACATGTTCGATTTATATTCAATACTAGAATTTAAAGTACTAATAAAAATATAGGAATATAGGATTATATATGTAGAACATATACTGGGTGTTGCATCGTCGAGCGGGACATAGGAAATCCCATGTAAATTTTAATGGGGTCAATTATTGGCTTCCCTAATTATTTTAGAGAATAATTCTATTTAGGTTTATTGAAGAGCACTAAAACCCACATTCAACAGAATAACTTTAGATATTTTTGATTAGCCCGTTTAAGAGTTATCGCCGATTTCTTTTTAAATATTTCTCCTTTCTTATGGCCCTGTATTTACTTATGAGCACCAGTCAAGGTACAAGATAACTGTCAAATGAAGTTGTCATTTCAGAAATTTATCTATTTAGTGCTTTATTATTATTATTAAAAACTTATACCTACGTCGAAAATATTAGCCATGAGTTACACTACCGAAGAAAAAGTATTGATGATTAAATGGTATTATCAAGGAAATAGTTATCAAAAGGTGTCGGACATGTTTGCTGCTCTGTATCCGAATAGACTGATACCTGGAAAATCTACAATCGCAAGGAATATCCAGAGATTTGAGACCAAAGGTACCCTAATAAATAACTGCAGATGTGAAGCAAAGCAGGAACAAAGAGAAGATGCAAGAAATGATACCGACTTTGAAGTTTTATTGCGCGTGGAAGAGAACGATGGAAAGATCAGCACAAGGAAACTTGAGGATGAAATAGGAATAGATCACACTACAGCGCAGCGTTTCGAATTTTGAAACGACATAAATACTATTCCTTCAAATATGAAAAGCACCAAGAGCTACGAGATGGGGACGAAATACGGCGGCAGGCGTTTTGTTTTGATATGATGGAAAGAGCAAACATGGATAGGGAATTTTTAAAAAATATATGTTTCGCTGACGAATGCACGTTTACCTTAAATAATGAACCCAATGTTCAAAATTATCGATATTGGAACAAAGAAAACCAACACAGGTTTGTCGAAACAAGGACGCAATATCCACAGAAAGTAAATGTTTGGGCAGGGATATTCGGACACAATATTATCGGGCCATTATTTCTTACGTGAAATTTAAATGCAGAATATTATTTGGAACTACTCTTTACTACTTTACATGATGCCGCTAGGGAAAATCAGGAAGTTTGGTACCAAATGGATGGTTTTGTTCGGGAATATTTAGACAATAGTGTTAACGGAAACGTTATTGGCCTAAATTATACAGTAAATTGACCAGCAAGGTCTCCTGATATTTCACCAAATGATTTCTTTCTCTGGGGCCATTTAAAAAACAGGATATACAAGGATAAAAAATACCTAAATCTAGACGAGTTAAAAAATGCTATTTCTGCCGAATGCAATAGAATTTCAGTTTACCAACTAGCGAATGTAAGAAGAGAATTTTATGATCGCCTGGGTTATTGTCTAGCAGTCGATGGAGGAATATTTGAACATCTTCTTAAATCCTAAAGTTCTAACAATTTAATAGTACCTAAATTAATAATAAGTATTATTACAATATTCAATAAGTTATTGAATATTGTAATAATACTATAATTAACCTTGTAATTGATTACTTTATTTTACTTTAATTCATATTAATTTGTATTTATAAATACATCTTTAAGATTTCCGATGTAGGAATGAGTTTTCAATAATAATAAAGCACTAAATAGGTAAATTTCTGAAATGACAACTTCATTTGACAGTTATGTTTTACCTTGACTGGTACTCATAAGTAAATACAGGGCCATAAGAAAGGAGAAATATTTAAAAAGTAATCGGCGATAACTCGTAAACGAGCTAATCAAAAATATCTAAAGTTATTCTTTTGAATGTGGGTTTTAGTACTCTTCAATAAACCTAAATAGAATTATTCTCTAAAATAATTAGGGAAGCCAATAATTGACCCCATTAAAATTTACATGGGATTTCCTTGTCCCGTCCGACGATGCAACACCCGGTATAATACCGTAGTGAAAAGTGTAATATCTTACGGAAGCGAAGTATGGCAGTTGAAAAGTAGAACGGAGAACATGCTATTAGCGACCGAAATGGATTACTGGAGGAGATTTGGAATGGATTACTGCTGGAAAATCGAAAAGAGATAAAATAACCAACGACAGAGTAAGAGAGATTATGGGAGCAGAACACACAATTGTGGACGACATAAGAACAAAACAATTCATATGGTTTGGTCATGTGTAACGAATGCCCGACCACAGAATACCAAAACAAATTTTACTGTGGACACCGCAAGGCAGAAATGAGAAAAGGAGGAGGCCACGACTAAGCTGGAGGGAGGGTGTGGATAAAGAACTGGAAAATAGAGAAATACCTGATGATTTCTGGCTAAATAGAGCAGATTGGAAGTTAGGTGTCGGAAAACGTCGTAGAACGTTCTGAACCGACTTATATACATACATATACATAAAAATATAGGATCTTCTTTCAATACGCAATAGGAAACGCAACGTTTACGGCCAGCCAGGCGGGCTGCATGCTGTTCTAAAGAGCCTAGTAAAAGATATATCAAAGAGCCAGACGTCTTAAAATACTTGTTTTTCCGACGTTGCTAGCTCTCGTACTATTATGAAAAGGGAACAAGATTGGTATTTATCGTTTTTATACATATTTTAAATATATATTTTTATATTTTGTACTAAATAATATGAAGAGGACACGTGATATTGAGTATGTGGACACCACTGAAGATTTGAAACTCAAATTGTTAAATAAAGCAAAGGTGATTTGGTATTAATTAAAATAAATTCAATAATCTGTAAATAAATCCAATAAAACATAAAATTCGAAATTTATATCGAAAATAAATATCTAACCTATATATATTAATAACTTTGAGTCTAAAATCAGTTTAAAATCCGTCCCAACACGCGTTTAATTTTGGTTTAGTAACAGAACTGGGCGAGTATAACTACAGTAACCAATGTGGGCGATCTCAGTTATCGTTCTAAAGCGGTACGAATTCTGTGTTGGAACAAACCTACTATGTATTCTGATGGACTGTCGGTAATATTTGGTTAGTTTCAATTAGATTGGCACTTGACAATTTTGACCTTCGTCCACTCTTTTCAGTTAATTTCAAATCATACATTGATCTAGCATTTTGATAAATCCGTAAGTTATTAAAAGAGGAACGGAGATAACTCCATCGCAAAAAGGAAAGGGCTTGCTTCTAAATGATAATCTATATTGGATCTATGAAATGCAAGATAATTTTGTCGGGGCTATTTTGTTTTGGTCTATTTTGTCATCGGCTATTATATCGGGGTTATTTCTTGTTCTTCAGCTGAGGGGATCGCCAGGATAGGTACACTTAAAATAGAAGAATCGCTCGTGTTTCTGTATGGTTTCTGTATGCTTCAAATGAAATCGAGGTTGTGAATCGTTCGATCGAAAAAAAAATCAAAATCTATTGGAACTACGTTTCTTTAACAATTAATAGAACCCAGCATGAGAAGCGCCATATTACTCTGCTAGAAAATTGAACACAATGAACAATGAATGTTTACTTGGTTGTAAACATGGCTGTTACAACCATGTTTACCATTGAATTTCTACTCTAACAGAACTCAATATAGCAGTAAAAGAACACGATTTAAATTCTTTTAATTTCTAAATTTTCCAAAATATTCCCTAAGTACACTAATGTGTACTTTATGTATCTAAATCGTCTTGGTTAATATTTCCCGTTATTCAAAATAATTAAATTTGACAGATAAAAACAGTGTAGAGCTAAAACAGAAGAACCATCTGATATATTGCTTTATGAGCCTCCTTAAGTTGTTTAAAGATTGATTTTCTCTTCTTGTTGAATTCCTATACGGTTACGCTCTCCATCACTTAGCTCATATATCGTCTGGTGTTATTGGCAAATTTCCAGATAGCCCGCGCGTACTCGTACACATCGACCAATTACTCGGCGAGGTTCGCGTGATTTGTTACCTTCAATTAGCCGTTTAAACAGTTTAATTTATCGCGAGGCGTCTTCTTGTGGCTGTTTACTTTTCTTTGGGATTTAAAGGAAATTTATCCAGTTCCACCGCCACTGGCAGAAAACCGTTTTAGAAACATCGCTTTGCGATGTGGGTGTTTGTAATCTGCAAAGAAAAGTAAGTCGGAAA